CCTGCTCCAGTGTGGGGTGTGCGGAGCAGCGAGCCAGGAGGCACCGTTGCTCCCCTCCCGCCACGGGGCTCCTCGCTTCGGTCGAAGCTCCCGGTCTGTCCCGCTGCTGAGAGACCCTGTGAGAGCACAGGGGCACCCGGGGCTCTGCACCCCGCTACGGGCGGAGGGCTGGGCACGCAGCCCCAGCTGCACAGCACATCGGCGGCGCCCTGCTGCTCCCCCACGGCGCCCCACGTTTGGGCACCACCGCAAGGTGAGCTGGCCTGGCCACCGGCACAGCGCAGGCTGGAGGCCTCCCTGCCGAAACCATCGCCTGCCATGGAGCCTGCTGCACCACTGGCTCCGGCAGTCCCTGCTCTGAACACCAGCTCTGCAGCCGGTTTGTCGAACCTCTAAGATGCTGGCAGCTGTCGTTGCTGTGTGGAAGACTCACCATCAGGCACCCCCCAGTGTCCCCAAGAGCGCTGCTGGATCTGTCACCGAGGATGCTGAAGGTTCAGCAAAGCCGGTGTCACAGGACTGGACGTGCCTGCTGCCCTACCCGGCGGTGCCAGCCTGGAGCTGCACCAGAAGCCCAGCTCTGGCAGAGCCTGGGAGACCACAGAGCTGCTGTGGGGTTTCACCAGTAGCCGCAGACCAGTCCTCTCTCATAGGGAAGCCACCAGCTTCCTGCCACCAAAAGCTGTTCTGGTTGTGGTTGGGGACCCAGCAGCCTCAGAGGAAGTGGTAGCCTATTCAGCAAGCTCTAGAAAGCAAATTTTACTTCCACTTGCAAGCTCAGGGCAAGCAAGCAGAGCAGCTGATGTGTAGTAAGAGGAAGGGTCTCTGTTCCACACACACTGGCTAACTTTGCTTTCCCACCTGATCCCTGCCTCACCTAAGGGAACTGCTTCTCCTTTCCCAGGAGGGAAGTGAGCACAGCACTACTGATCCAAGAATGGCCACTCTTATCTGAGGAGCACTTGCCACATCAGCCCTCAGAGCTGCAGGCTGTCACAGCACCTCCCCAGCCCTACCTGCCTTTAGTGCCCCAGGGACAAGAAGTGCACCACAAGATACCCAAGAAACCACTGTCTGCTCCTGCTTCGCTTGCCCAGACTCTGCCTGAGGCTACCTTGCTCCCTCGAAGTGAAGCGGAGGGTGTAACATGCTCAGCCCTGCTCTCCTCACAGCCCCAGGCTGGCCAGCCAGGCTCCCTCGCTGCCAGAGGGCAAGTCAGCCTGGTCAGGGCAGTGAACACCATCTGACAGCAGAATGGAGCTGCAGGAGCCACCTGTGATGCTAGGACAATGAGACCACAGAGCTGGCCCTGGCCTTCCCCCTCTCCGGCTGCACTGTAGGGCCAAAGGGCCAGAGTTTGAGCAGCAGCAGCAGCAGCAGGAGGGGAGGCACACAGCACACCTCCAGTTACAGCAGGAAGAAACTGGGAACTGTGTCAGAAGCAGCCAGAAGTCCCTCCCCACCAAGCCAGTTAAGCACATCCCTGCAAAAGTCCACCAGTTCCTGCAGGCACCCAGCACCGTGTGCAGCCACATTCGAATTCTCAGCCCTCAAGATCAGGTGCCCGTGTGCAGTACAGTCAAAGGAGCCAACTTTTTGCACAGGGGATAAATGAGGCTAGAGCAGACCCCATCTGACAGAAACCACCTTACCTGCAGGGCAGTGCGGCCACTTGTTTGTAGCAGCAACGTCAGCAGCCTGCGCAGTGAAGCAGAGGCTGCGCTTGGCTCAACATGAGGCCATAACCTGGGCAAACATTAGAGCCTTTCTAATTAGCCACAGCTTGGAGCATCCTGAGGAGGGAGAAAGCAAGGCTCTTCCCAAGCCAAGCTGGACACCCACCATCCATCCCCACCATCAGTGATCTGCGGCTGCAGTGGTTTGAGCTGGGTTTATTTATTGTTGGCATTGCCAGCTTCCCCCAGGAAAGCGTGACGGTATTCATGGATGTGAAACCCACCCATCAATGCACAACACGAACACACAGCGGTGCCACTGCTGCTGCTGTCAGGACCTGTCCCTCTCAGCTTGCAGCATGTCTGCGAAACAGCACCCACAGCTGATGGACAAAGGCTGCCAGCACCCTGATTCTGGCTGAGGGATGGTGAGTGACAGCCAGGGAGGCACCCAACAGTCCAAAGAGAGCCATCCCAGCAGGAAGCCTTCAGGATCCACATCTCACTTGTGGCGAGCCCTTTCCCTCTTTGAACCCCACCCACTGTCTCTGTAGCAGCATTTCAGCAGCTCCGTTTGGGACAGGCAGCCATTCTCATCGGAAGCAGGACAGAGCCCCACACCTCGTACGCAGTCATTTGCCTTCTAAACACCATCAGCTTGTGACTGCCAAGCACAAGCCCCACTAGCACGCTTGGCACAGCTCTGCAGAGCTGAGAGAAGCCCAGGTCCAGTTAGTGCATTGCACAAGCCCACACAGTTACTGCCTTACATGAACCCCCACCCCATGCTTCCCACCAGGAGCCTGCTGCAGAGGCTCTCCCCGGTTGCCAGCTCCAGCCTCGGTTGGCCCCGGTGAGGGCAAGTAAAGTGCAGACCAGGCAGGTTTTACCCTGACAATCTTCTGGTCTATCGTTCTGTGAGTGAATGGTGGGTCAGAACTGCCATCTACGCCAGGTCCAGTTGCAGGACGGTTTCTGGTGACAGAAGGGACTCACTCTCCTCGGCAGATGAACCAGATCTCATTGCGGCGCTGAGGGATGCTGGGGTTTTCATAAACAGCCACAATGTAGGTTTCCCGGAGGACGGTGTCTGTGGAGCCCAAGAGCTCCCAAAAGAGACTGATCTCTCGCAGAATCGTCTCCTCGGTGGTTATCCCATAGAAAACCCTGCAGCAAAGGGAGCAAAGTAAGCGACAGAGCCAGCACGTTCCCCCTTCCCGCGGCCAGGGCTCCCCATCCCTCTGCCCAAGGAACCACAGCAGCCGTGCAGGGCGCTCATACACCTCTGCTGAGCTGAGCAAACACCTCTGGTGCTGGGGTCACCTGGTTATAACCCGGAGTGGTGCCCTCTCGGTGATGTGGATTTCGGGGTCTGTAGGAACAGGGGGGTTTTGCTGGAACTCTCCTGGGAGATAATAGGCAGTTACGACCTCACGCTCCAGCCTGGTCCCCTCCTTGGTCAGGTGGATTTCGTTGAGCACTGGGACTGTCATGCCCAGATAGCAACCTGGAAGGAGGTAGAAAAGCAGTGGGCACAGTGAGGCGGCTGGGTGAGCGGTGGCAGCCCTCCTCCCCACTCCAGACGAACAGTGGCAGGGCCCTCCCTCTGTGCAGCCTGCCAGCCCTCTCCAGCCCCTGCCTGCACACACCTACAGAGTTCTCCTTGCAGATGTAGCGCATGAGCTTCATGAAGCTCATGGAGATGCTCTGCTCATACATGGGCTCCCCCTTGGTGACACACGCCCACTTCCCAGCTGGGTACCGCCGCTCCTCGTAGGCTGCTTCCTCGCGCTGAAACAGGCCACAGACAAGCCAAGTCAGAGTTAAACACGCTGACAACACTGCAGCACTTGGGTGGCAAAACCAACACCAATCAAGGAGATGGGACCCTGCCAAAATGAGACCACCTGCTACTCAGTGATTGGCAGGGGAGGCCAGAGAAGGCAAGGGGAACTGGCATCACACGCACCTCAGACAAAGACACTTTACAGCACCAGGCAAAAGTCAGTGAAAGGAAAAGCACAGACAGGGGACAGGGAGGCTTGGAGGCTCCTGGCGTGCCCAAGGAATGCAGCACATCCTCAGCAGGGAGCACAGGACTTTGCTCCTCTCCAGTCACTGTCCTGCCTATTCACAAGGATGTTCCTGATTCCAGGCACCCAGAGGCCTCCAGTAAGGCTGACACGATTCTCAGGTGTGGTGCCTTTTCCCTGCAGCACTGTGTGCACAGAAGGTAACAAGCAAAAAGCCTCCTGCCCAGTAAAAGGGAAAGTCTGGCAGAAGAGCTGTGAAGGTTGGAACAAAACTCCTCTCAGATCCTTCTCCCATACCAAGAAGTGACAGGAGGAAAAAAGAGACATGAACCCAGCTGGTGCAGAAGGGACAGCTTTGTGGGATGGGTCAGAAACTCTATTTCCAGCACAGATGTTTCTGCACAAACCCAACAGAGAAGCAGGGAAGAAGAGAGTGGGGAAATGGCATCTGGATCTGCTCATAGTTCAGCTCGTGACACGGTTATAACCACAGGTATCGCATAAAGAGGGGTTGGGAAGTTGTAGCCAGCACCTGTCTTCCTGCTCTCAGCTTGTTCTTCAGCCAGATTAAAGCACTCTTGAGACAACCTTGTTCCACAGAGCTCAGGGCACCCGTCCAAACTGCCGTGCTCCACAGCTGTGCTGGCAGTGAGTGAGCCAGGAAGTTGTGACCAGCCTCAATGCTGAGCACAGCCTCCCTGTGCCTCCACCCAAGTCAGGTCTCTACTCAGAAAGCCAAGCCAAAGGCAGAAGAAAGTCACCCGGGCTGCTCGTGCCCACCAGTGGGCTGCCAGGAAGAAGAGTGACCCAGAACACTGCAGGCCACCCAGCATTCACCTGCTAGAGGAGGCCATGCCTGCTGCTGTCCCACCAAGCAAAGCAGAGCAAGAGCGTTTCCCAAGCAAGGAAACTGCCGGTCCCTCTACACTATCTGGCACTCTCATCTGCCACACCACCTGCACATAAAGCTGTCAGCACGGGGTCTGGCCCTTCCACAGCCCGATCCTTGGATGGAGGATCCACCACCGCTGTAGGAGATGAGATGAGACCGTGAGAAAGAGCAAAGATGCTTCACATAGACCCAGTAGCAACAGGTCCCTGCAATGTCAGCTGGAGAATTGGACAGAACAAAGCTCCATAGGTGGCAGAATAATTCACTTGCCTCCAAGAGGATGAGAGCTTTTAGGACTGACAGCTCAGGAAGAGCAAGCAAATCTTCCTGACCTGCCTGAGTGTGGGAAACGTGACCTTAAGGACCCCAGCTCCAAAGTCCCCTCAGCACTAATGCCAGGAAGCGGCTCCTATCTCCTCACCTCGCCCCAGAGTCAAGCTCTTAAGAATCCTCCTCAGACACAGAGAGGATGACAATAGCAACAAAAGATCTTCAGGCCCTACAAAGTCTTGGGGCCCCATTCCTGCCTGGGACCAGCACAGGTAGAGAAGAGCCCAGACTAAGTCCTTGGGACGCAGAAGAACAAGGGAAGAGGGAATGTGGTGAAGCCTCAGTTCAGAGCTGTACAACCCACATGCTCAGACGTGTTTTGCAGGCAGGAGTGCTGGACCTCAGCCCAGAAGAAACTGGTTAAGCTCTCCTCATACAGAGGACAATTGACAGATGTCTTCTTGGCAGCAAGCCCAACCAAGCCTGCAGAGACCCAGGAACCAGTCTGACAAGCGCTTCTTCACAGTTATTTCTCAAAGCTCAGAAGCACCCTTTGGCGGGAAAGACGAGAGGAGGCGTGCAACGTAGCCAGCAAGAACAGGAGATCTTCAGGCAGAAGCTACCATGTTTGGATTGGCAGCTGTAGCAAACAACAACACGCGCTCAGGTCTGACAGCCAGGGCCACAGGCCCCGTGTTCCCCACAGAAGCATTCTTCTCTTGTGCCAGCCGAGCTCTCCAGCCCGACCCGTAGCCATGTAACTAGCACAAACACAAACCCAGCAGTACCCGGAGCTACGCAACGGGATGTTTTGAGCAAGGCAGGGAGCAGGGTCTGAACTGAAAATTCACTCTGACTGAACATGTGCCCAGCCCAGCAGATGACAGGCTGGCAAAGGAGGCAGCTGGAAGCCAGGAGACCAGAGGAAGCGGCAAGACCAGTCCAATTTTAACACAAAGGCTGGGAAGTTGAGCATCACCGTTACTCAACGCAGGAGAAGACAGAGGAAGGGCAGCACGCTGCAGCACCCCAGAGCTGCCCTCCT